CAAATCCCCAAATAACCTGATCACACCCATCATGACAAGTTAAAGGATGCTTTTAGCAGTGTGATGTAAAACAATGGTTAGTCAAAACTGAAGCACATTGCAAGAGCTTTACAGCTTTTAAAGTTACCCCACAGAATTGACAACATGTATCTTAGCTGTTCACAACAACTACCCTCAAAATTAAAGAGAAATTAGGACACCTAATTAGGAAATGTGAGAGGTGTTTTAAGTGTTACTATTTCTCAGGATTTTGGTAAGGCAATGTAGCTTTGTCATGGAATCTGTCATCCTTTCATGCCTTTTAGATAGTTCTTCAGTATCATTCTTCCGTCTTCATTTTTATTTTTGTCTTGATCATACAGCCTGATCCCATCAGTCTCTTCATATCTCTACTCTTGATGTAAATTTTCCCATCTTGGAGTAGTAGAAGATGTCTCTTGTTCTAGATTTTTGTTGCCACCTTCTATTTCTTTTATTTTTTTTAATTGAATTTATATGCATTTTTTCTCCAGAAAGGGACTCAGGGTGGCTTTCTTTGCAAGGTTATTATAATACTTCCCTTTGTCTCTTTATATAAGTCGCTAAACAGTTGCAATCCAGCTTCTGACTTATTTTGTCACTTGCCGTTTTTTCTTCTTCTTGCTCATATCCATTTGAAGGATTCCATTAGTTACCCTACATTAGAGTAGCACAAATGAAACCAATGGGAATCTATGCTATTGAGGGTTAAGATTTAATTTCAAGTCAGAACACTGGGACACATATTTAAATATGATACTTCAATTACATTTGTCTTCCTATTGTCAGGTGTAATTTGCATTCTTAAGCAATACTGGAGATAGAGATCAAGCTAAACTTGTTTTGGAAGAAATCCTGAAGATACAGATCAAGTTGTAGGTGTCATGCCAAGAAATTCCCATGCCAAGAGAAAGTAGTACTCCAAAGTTTGGCTGAATTACATTAAGCAAAAATAGATTTTTCAAAGAAGTATGAATGTTTGATGCTACAACATATTTATTATATTCTTTCTGAGCATAGAATCAGATAGTAAAATTTCCAGTGAGGTAGAAACTTCATGTCTTTTAGCCAGCAACAGAAGTTACCTCTGTACCTGATACCACATCAGTTGTTCCAATCACAACTGCTTTCCTGCCACTGTGAAAAAACAACTCACTAATGGAGAACAGCCTCAATATGGGTTGACTATCCCTTATCCAAAATGCTTTGGGCCAGAAGTGTCCTGAATTTTGGAATATCTTATTTTCATATACATACTTTAAAAAATGTGTTGGAGATGGGATCCTAGTCTAAACCCAAAATTCATTTATGGCTCATATACACCTTATCCAAATAGCCTGAAGGTAATTTGATAAAATATTGATAATAACTGTATGTATACAATGAAGTTTGTGTACATCAAAGCATCAGAAAGCGAAGTTGTCACTATCTTAGCCATCCACATAGACAATTTCAGAGTTCGAAATTCCAGATAAGGGATGCTCAACCTGTATATTGTAAGGTGATGAGAAATGTAAAACAAGCACAAAACATAGCAACAGCATGATAAATCATGGACACAAAAAATAAAAATATAAGAGACATATGTGAATATAATTAAACAAGCCACAACCGATTACTTCCTAGGATGGTATCACAACCACTGCAGCACAAGTGTTTTCTTCTTGTTCTTAAAAAGAAAGAAAGAACTGAGCTCTTTGTTCCAAAACAATGAAGTACATTGAAATACGAGGATTTAACAGTTCTAATTGGTGCCCAGAATACGTCCTTTGCTCAGATAAGAATAAGCAATATTAAAGTTTCAAATTCCCCTGCAATAAACACCCACGCAAGGCCACACATCCTTCAAGTTCTTAAGATAAGATACATAGCAAATACTGGGAGTTTTCTTGTTTGTAGCCTTACTGTTCTGAAATGCCTTTCTACTGGATGTTAGGCTGTTTCAAAATGCCAGGGCATTGTAACTGGCTGGTTACATTTGTTTCTTTGTTGATGCTGCTGTTTTAATATACTATGTTTTTCCTATTACATTCCCTTATTTTAATGCAATGCTAAATACTGTTAGTCCACAGAGTAAATCCAATGGATGAATAGAATTTGCAGTGTCAACATTTAATTCCAATTGATTAAAAATATCTGTTCTGTATGTGCCTTCAAGTCACTTGTTAACTTCGATCAGTATATGTACTTCATTCTGGTATCTGTAAAGGAATTTTGTAAATGTTTCAAAATAAACAGTACAACTGTTGCTTTTTAGAGATCTTTATTCTTAGCTGAACTAAAAGGCTTCAAAGAACAAGTCCGCTCCAGAGTCTGTATTTCTCTCCCAATGAATGAAACAGAATGGCAAGTTTAAAACAACCCCTTAACTGTACTCATAACAGGTTATGAATTTGTGTACATTTTATCAGGGATAAAATTGGGATATTAAAACGGAAACTCCAAAGTTTTAAAACTTAGGATTTAATCACCAAATGCAGACTGTTACATTTTCAGGTACCAGAATACATCAAGGATCACACATTTGCCCCTACATACTATTATGCATTTTCCATGTTTTCTAATATATGAAAACATAACCATTTGGTGACTAAATAACTGCCAACTTGTGGCTGCAACACCAGGTCTAACTTTTGGACTAAAGTTAAGAATGCATTTGTTTCTGACTTACAGCAACCCTAGAGTCAACTGATCAAAGGAACAAGATTTGTTCAGAGGCGAAGGATTGGTTTCACCTGCCTTTGAGGCTGAAGGCGTGTTACTCACCAAGGGTCACCTAGTGGGTTTGCTTGGTCAGGTAAGGATTTGAAACCTAGTCTCTCAATCATGATCTAGTGTTCAAACCACAACATCATGCAGAAAAGCAGGTTTATATTCTTCTTTTCTTCAAGCAGTCAATCAATTTCCAATAGGCAATGAAATCCTACTTCAGAATAGAGCATCAATTGCTGCTGTTACAAATTATAGTCACAGTACACCAAAACAAAAACAAAAAAAAGCGTCTTCTTTACTGTATATGTCCAAAACAAACAAATAGGGATAATAAACATCTACAAGCTATCAACGCTCATAATGAAGGACGGTGCACCAAAACCACATGCCAGAACAGTGCAAAAGTTTTCTATTTAAAATTTTGGTCTCAAGTACACGTTGAGAACCCATTATCTTGGATAATAAAATCCAAAGTACAGCACTCCAACATCCAAAAATATCCATATGGGTGGCTGATACAGTGATGGCTTTGCTCTCTGATGGTACAATATACACAAACTTTGTTTTGAGCACCAATTGTGTATAAATTTACCTTCAGGTTATGTCTACAACAGCCATAGGCAAAATCTGGCCCTCCAGGTGTTTTGGACTTCAACTCCCACAATTCCTAACAACCTACTGACTGTTAGTAATTGTGGGAGTTGCAGTCCAACACACCTGGCGGGCTGAAGTTTGCCCGTGCCTTGTCTGCAAAGTGAAACTGAAACATAAGTGAATGTTACCTGTCCAAGCGTATCCCCCTCTATGAATCATCATGATAATTAAGATCTTCTGGGGAAGCCCTGCTCTCAGTCCCACTGCCATCACAAGTGCAGTTGGAAGGGATGAGAGACAGGGCCTTCTCAGTGGTGGCTCCTCGTCTCTTGAGCTCTCTCCCCAGTGAGATTAGATCAGCGCACTCCCACCTGGCCTTCCGAAAGAAAACAAAGGCATGGTTGCGGGACCAAGGCTTTAGCCAGTAAAAATAATGCAGTACAAGGAACAATTAGAAAATATGTGCAATGACTATCAGAATGGTTACAGTGTATGATTTTTTGATCATGTGATTTTAATATTTATATTAAAATATTTTAATGCTTTGCTTTAATGTTTAAATGTTATTTATGTCTCATGTTTTCATGGTTAAAATGTATGTCAAAGTAAAGGGAAAGGTTTCCCCTTGACATTAAGTCTAGTTGTGTATGACTCTGGGGGGTTGGTGTTCATCTCCATTTCTCAGCCAAAGAGCCAGCATTGCCCATAGACACCTCCTAAGTCATGTGGCCAGCCCAACTGCATAGAGTGCCATTACCTTCGCGCTGAAGCAGTACTTATTGATCTACTCATGTTTCAATGTTTTTTAATTGCTAGGTTGGCAGAAGCTGGGACTAACAGCAAGAGAGCACCCTGCTCCCTGGATTCAAACTGCCAACCTTTCGGTCAGCATGTTCAGCAGTTTAACCCGCTGCGCCACCAAGGGGGAGGGGGGCCTTAGTGATGTGTTAGTATTTAGTTATTATGATTTTTCTTTTTTACATGTATGTTGGCATTGAATTTTTGCCATTGGTATGTTGTAAGCCGCCTTGAGTCCCCTTGGGGGGTGAGAAGGGGAGTATACAAGTATAGTAAATAAATAAATAAATAAATAAATAGTGCTTATATTTAGCTCACTATGTACATTAAGTAAGTATATCTAAGAATGATAAAAACTGGAGGGGGGAAAGGGACTCAAAATATGGCACACTTTCTGGTCTCAAGTATTTAGGATATAAGGGACGTCCAACGGGTATAAATCATTGTGCTAAAAATGCCAAGTGGATATTTCTGCTGTCAAATCAACGTTTGACATTTCTGCTCAGTCCAGGCCAAATCCTTTCGCTGGTTTCAGAAATAATCACATTTTCCCCCTTTATTGGGTTTTACCAGACGGGAAGCGGTTCCCTAATCTGTGGAAAGTGACCTTGAATCCGCTCCTCCAAATAGGACGTTAATCAGGTCCTATTAATGAGGGCGAGGGCCCAGCTACAAGGATCTCTCACGCAAGAAGGAGAGGGAGGGAGGGAGGGAGGGAGGGAGGGAGAGAGGGTGCCCTCCCTGTGGCGGGAGCAACGCCTGAATGAGGCCTCCACAACATGACCAGCCGGCCTCCTCGAGGGCCCAAGAGGAGCAGGAGAGGCGGCCGGGCCGTGGAGGCGAAGGCGGCCTGCGGGGAGAGCAAGAGGAGGACTCACCTGCCCAGGCGCCCAGGTGTGGGCCTACCGCCCCCGGGTCTCCCATGACCCACACGCGGACGATGTACCTCAGGTAGCGGAGCAGCAGGAGAGCCCAGTACGCGGTCCCCGCCACCCCGACCCAGTAGAAGAACCCCGTCCAGGGAGCCAAGAAGGACTCGGAGGCCTCCATGGCGCACAACCCACGCTAACCAACCTCCTGCTACTGCTGCTCAAGCGAGACTGAACCCTCCGCGCACCCTTCGTACACTTCCACAGAGCAAGCCCGCCCCCGCCGCGCAGCCATTGGCCAGCTCCAACCACCGCGCGCTTCCCATTGGGCCTCGCGCCCGCCCTTCGGACGGCGGGGTGATCCGACGTTGGAGCTGCCCCCTCCCCCCCGCCCTCTTCTCTGGCCGTCCCGCCCCGGGTTGCCTCCGCGCGCACATGGATGCCAACGCCTCCCCCGCCCCCGTTGGACGAGCTCTTATTGGCTGAGGCCGCCGTCAGTCACGGAGAGAGCGCTTTCCGATTGGGTGGCGTCGTTTTGAGCGGGTGTATTAAAGCATCAGGTGATTCTGCTCGTACGATGCTCTAAGCATGGGACAAAATGTCAACACTTCCTCTGGCGGGGAGGTGGTGAGAAAAGGTCCTGGTTTTCCATAGAATCATTGAGTTGGAAGAGACCTGGTGGGCCATTTAGTCTCACGCCCTGCAAAGTAGCAGAAAATTCCCATTCAAAGCACCCTCGACAGATAGCCATCCAGCACCTGTTTAAAAGCTTCCAAAGAAGGAACTCCACCACACTTCAGAGCAGAGAGTTCCACCGCTGAATAGCACTCACAGTCAGGAATGTTCAGGTGGACTCGCCTTGTAGCCTGAAGCCATTGTTCCTTGTCCTAGTCTCCAGGGCAGCAGAAAACAAGCTTGCTCCCTCCTCCCTGTGACTTTCCCTCACATTTATACATGGTCATCATGTCTCCTCTTAGCTTTCTCATCTGAAGGTTAAACATGTCCAGCTCTTTAAGCCACTCCTCATAGGGCTTGTTCTCCAGACCCTAGATCATTTTAGTTGCTCTTATCTGGACACATTCCAGCTTGTCAACATCTGCCTTCAATTGTGGTGCCTAGAATTGGACACAGTATTCCAGGTGTGGTCTTACCAAGGCCGAATAGAGGGGTTGCATGACTTCCCTGGATCTAGACACTATACCCCTATGGATGCAAGCCAAAATCCTATTGGCTTTTTTTGCCGCCGCACCACATTGTTGGCTCATGTTTAACTTGTCCACGAGGACTCTCAACTCCAAAGATCTTTTTCACACGTACTGCTCTCGAGCCAGGCGTTCCCCATTCTGTATCTTTGCATTTAATTTTTTTCTGCCTAAGTGGAGTACCTTATTAAAGTATCTTATTAAAAAGACATCTATATTAAAAAGCTCTCTCTCTCTCTCTCTCTCTCTCTCTCTATATATATATATATATATATATATCATTGATAATATATCTTATTAAAGATATATATAGAGAGGGGGGGAGAGATCCGTGGGCACTATTGGAATTTCAGGTAAGGGATGTTGGACCTGCGTTGCATCAGCTGGATTCTTCTGTGATCAGAAGCAAACTTGTCAGATGTGCTGCTTGTTTGTGAAATTGCATGAGCAGCATGGCTGCAAAACACCTAAAAATGTAGCTTCTTCACAACGTTCCTGCTTAGCAATTTGTGCGCTTACTGAACAGGTTGAGAATCTTTTCTCCAAGGTTGCATCTTCAGTACAATGCAGTTTGAAACTTCATCATATGGTCAGTGTAGACGTGCCATGGGCAAAGTTCGGCCCTCCAGGTGTTTTGCACTTCAACTTCCACAATTTCTAACAGCCTCAGGCCCTTTCTTTTTTCCCCCAGCCACTTAAGCCCATGCCGGGGTGCAGTCATATAATACAGTTGAACTGCATTATATGAGTATGCAATAGGCCTGGGTAACAACGCAAAAATTTGTTTCTAAAATCGATTTGTAATTGGGGTGTTTTTTTGTTTTGATATTTAAAATAATTACAAAATTTTCCCTTAAAAAAGTTCGGTATTTACGAAATTTCGTAAATATTTACGAATTGATTCGTTAAGATGGCGGACCCCCCGCGCATGCGCAAAATCACTTCCGAAGCTTCGTTATTGGCGCGGGGTCGATTCGTTAAGGTTATAACGAATCGATTCGTTAAAACGGCGGACGCGATTGCGCATGCGCAAAGCGACTTCCGAAACGTCGTTATTAAATACGAATCGATTCGCTATTAAAATAATAACGAATCGATTCGTTAAAACGGCGGACGCGATTGCGCAATGCTAAATGCTCTATAAACAAAATCATTTCATAAAATAAATCAAATAAAATAATCAAATAGAACAAGATATTAAGATATTAAATAAAAAAGTAATAAGATAAAGTATCCAAAACTGAGTCAATTTAATAATATAAATGAAATAAACAATAATATAATAATAAAATTTAAATAAATAAAATATAAAATAAATAATAATAATAATAATAATAATAAATAATATAAAATTATATAATATATACAATATAAATAAAATAATATAATATAATAATATATTATATATATATTATATAAATGAAATAAATAATAATATAAATATTTAAATAAAATATAATTAAATTTATAAAATATTTATAAAATATAATTATAAATAATAATAAAAATAATATATAAAATTAAATTATAAATTATTAATATATAAAATAATGTTATTATAAAAACTTAGAAAGTAAATATAAGAAATAAATAAAGAAAAAGTAACAAAAAGTAACAGAAATTGCACTTTGAAAAAACTCTGAAAATTATCTGGGAAGACCTTCTCAACCTCTAAGGATGCTTGCCATAGATGCAGGCGAAACGTCAGGAGAAATGCCTCTAGAACATGGCTCTATAGCCCGAAAAAAACCCACAAGAACCTAGTGATTCCAGCCATGAAAGCCTTCGACAATATATCTGGAAAGTATTGCATACATACTAATTTCTGTAGCAGTATTGCAAGTTAAGTAAGAAGGACCAACTTCACATTTGGGGGTGGTGTATCTTAATGTGCATCCTTAGCCCTGTTGTGGCAAGATGCCTCATATCTTTTCCTCTGCTGACGCTCACACCGCAATGCCTGCAAACTGCCAAAGTGGCCCTCTCATTATGGACGTCGTAATGATCCCATAGGAGCGATCTCGGCCTACCCCTACTACGCACTTGAGATGTACTCATGCTCGTGTTTGGACTGTCGGTGTTTGTGGAAGGGAGTATAGTTGGTTGTTTCTGTAGCTCGCCCTCCATCAGCATGCAGTCCTCTTGATCACTAATTCCTGTGGTGGAAGCACATTCCATCTTGTCTTCCTCCCATTCCTCTGACACGTCCGCCTCCTCGCCCTCCTCTTCATAACAAGTAATATCAGAGGTACTTGGAACGACATCAGGATCTGAACGTAGAGTCTTTCGAACTGATGAAGAAGAAGGTTCTGCCATCTCACAGCTGGTTGAAGCATCTGTGGGTGTTTCAATAACCATCTCGTTGGATGAATGTTCCCTTCTTGTCAATGTGTTCATCTTCAGTCCCCTGCCTTTCTTCGGTATTCGCGATAGCACTTGGCCCTTGCGACTAGAAAAGCCGGGAAGGAAGCGTTTCATCACACTGGTTGGAACTACACAAATAATGAGCAAAAGGAGCACACTGGTTGGAACTACACAAATGAGCGAGCACTGTATTATAGCACTTTCTGTTGGCAAAAGGAGCGCACTGGTTGGAACTACACAAATGAGCGAGCACTGTATTATAGCACTTTGTGTTGGCAAAAGGAGCGCACTGGTTGGAACTACACAACTAATGAGCGAGCACTGTATTATATAGCACTTTGTGTTGGCAAAAGGAGCGCACTGGTTGGAACTACACAACTAATGAGCGAGCACTGTATTATATCGCACTTTCTGTTGGCAAAAGGAGCGCACTGGTTGGAACTACACAACTAATGAGCGAGCACTGTATTATATAGCACTTTGTGTTGGCAAAAGGAGCGCACTGGTTGGAACTACACAAATAATGAGCGAGCACTGTATTATAGCACTTTGTGTTGGCAAAAGGAGCGCACTGGTTGGAACTACACAAAATGAGCGAGCACTGTATTATATAGCACTTTGTGTTGGCAAAAGGAGCGCACTGGTTGGAACTACACAAATGAGAAACGCACACACAGGCAGGCACACAAGATTCTTTTCTTTTTTAGAATATTTATTGATTTTTTTGAGAATAAAAGACAGGTATTTTTAAAAAATATTCAGAAATGGAAAATTAACCAAAAACTGGCCCTGATGTGGACCAAACACAGCCACGAGACAGGGCAAATGAGAGCACACAGCAACAGAAGAGTCTTTTCTTTTTTAGAATATTTTTTGTATTTTTTTAAGAATAAAAGACAGGTATTTTTAGAAAATATTCAAAAATGGAAAATTAACCAAAAACTGGCCCTGATGTGGACCAAACACAGCCACGAGACAGGGCAAATGAGAGCACACAGCAACAGAAGAGTCTTTTCTTTTTTTAGAATATTTTTGTTTTTTTTAAGAATAAAAGACAGGTATTTTTTAAAAATTCAAAAATGGAAAATTAACCAAAAACTGGCCCTGATGTGGACCAAACACAGCCACGAGACAGGGCAAATGAGAGCACACAGCAACAGAAGAGTCTTTTCTTTTTTGAGAATATTTTTTGTTTTTTTTAAGAATAAAAGACAGGTATTTTTAAAAATATTCAAAAATGGAAAATTAACCAAAAACTGGCCCTGATATGAAGCAAACACAGCCACGAGACAGGGCAAACGAGAGCACACAGCAACAGAAGAGTCTTTTCTTTTTTAAGAATATTTTTTGTTTTTTTTTAAGAATAAAAGACAGGTATTTTTAAAAAATATTCAAAAATGGAAAATTAACCAAAAACTGGCCCTGATGTGGACCAAACACAGCCACGAGACAGGGCAAATGAGAGCACACACCAACAGAAGAGTCTTTTTTTTAGAATATTTTTGTTTTTTTTTAAGAATAAAAGACAGGTATTTTTAAAAAATATTCAAAAATGGAAAATTAACCAAAAACTGGCCCTGATGTGGACCAAACACAGCCACGAGACAGGGCAAATGAGAGCACACACCAACAGAAGAGTCTTTTCTTTTTTTAGAATATTTTTTTTTTTTTAAGAATAAAAGACAGGTATTTTTAAAAAATATTCAG